ACACACATGTATACAGTAAACCTAAAACCTGCAGCGACAACAGTTTGGCATCTGTCAGACGGTATTGTGAGCAGACTCTGCTCGGTCTGGAGGTCTGGAATCCATGTCAGGATGAAAATGAAAATGACAAAATGAAAATCACAATGGAAAGAAAAACAAGAGCAGAGCAGCGGAAAAAGTCGGCGACAGGTTTTCAAACATTAGGAAACATTTAGTTCTGCATGTCAGCAGCAAATCTGTGGAAAAAATGTTGTTTGTTTGTCAAATTTTAAGTGAAAAAAAATGGTCTATCTTTTTAATTCTATCATCTGCATACACACACACACACACACACACACACACACACACACACACACACACACACACACACACACACACACACAAACACACACAGCAGTCATACTACTTCAAGGCCTAAATATCCAGCATCCCTTTCTCAACCTCCTTATACACACACACACTTACACAAAATATACTGTACTGATCAGATTTGTGCATGTGTGTGAATGCAAGCATGTGTGAACATATGACAGTATGTATGTGTGTTGTGTGTGTTGTGTGTGTGTGTCTGTGTGGATGCACTGTATATTTGCATGTAGAGCGTATGTCCATTACTAGATGCATTGAATTAGTGTAGTTTAGTGAAAATCACCTGTGTTCATTTTGTGTTAATCTACAAATTTTTGTAGATTTTGAGTCTGAACTCAAGTGGAAGTGAGGAAGAGGCTCAGAGGAAGATTTCTTGAAAGTTTTAATGTGGGCTGGGGAAACAGCTCTTTGTGAGTGTTTTCTTTGTAACGCGTAGGACTGTTGTTTGTGTATTTACAGCACATGATTTGATTTCAGTTTGATCAACCCTCTAGGAGCCAAATTTAAAATCTTTCATAATCATGCAAAAGTGTGTGTGGGTGTGTGTAAAAGAACTAAATGTTTTTGTGTGTATGCTTTTGAATATGAATGTACAAAATGTGTTTACAAAATGTGTGTTCATGCGTGTGTGTGTGTGTGTGTGTGTGTGTGTGTGTGTGTGTGTGTGTGTGTGTGTCTGCCCAGGGATCTGGCAGCCTTATAACCCCTCTGGGACACAAGCAGTGTTGAGGAGCGATGTAATTAGATCTGAGCAGCCTGCCAGCAGCCAACAAGTGGACCAGAGAGGAGCAGAGAGGCTCGAGTGAACAATGGGGGAGAATAAAAAGATCTGCTCTAGTACTAGCACCCTTGAACCCCTCTCAGTCTCTTTAACATCCGGCTAATCTTCCCTCCATCCTTCAGTCCCCTTCCTTTATTCTTTTTCCTCTCTTTCCAGGAAAAAAAAACAAACAAAAAAAAACTGTCATTGACTTCTAAGATGACCATATGAGTGTTGTACAATCTGACCACTCTGTCGGCACAACAACATCTTTGATCTGACCATTGCTGGGTCGGTGGTTTAAGCTATGAAGAGATCATGGTCGAGTTTCTGACAATGTCGTTTCTGTCCTCCCTCCAACTCTCTCAATGCAATCTAAAATAAAACACATTTATGGGAACGCCAGCACAGGGAAACTAGTTAACTGTTGGCTTGCTTGGTAGTTCCCAGCAGGCACTGGATGTCAATCTAACGTCAGAAAGACGTTGGACTCTAACGACTTTAACGTTGGGCAGATGTTTAATTTTGTTTGGAAATGAAAATCACGTTGACATCAAAACACAATGTTGGCTAATTGATATTGTGAATTGATATTCAGCAGACGTTTAACAGACGTTTAGTAAATGTTTAGCAGACGTTGGGTTTTACTCACGACTAGGATGTTGGTATTTTACGTGTCAAGATGGCGTTGGCATGAGACGTTTGGAAGACGTTGGATTTTGGTTACTTAACAACACAACTTAAAAGCAATAAAATATCAATGTCAGCTGTCTATATCAAATTAGACATTTGTCCTGACAGAACCTACATTTAACTAAATATCGACATCTCACGATGGTGACCAGCTGTGTGCCTGCAGGTTTCTAGTTTCAGTAGTTATACGGACTTTAAATTATCTTCAATGTAATTTGCTGAGAATAAGAGTACACACCAAAGAGTCACAGTGTAGACATGATAACATGTAAAAGTGGACCCCTGAAGTCATTACACTAAGTGCTATAGGCAGACAACAAATGGTCTAACATTAATCTAATCAATTTTAAACTGAGTGTGTGTTTCATGCTCCATTAACTCACATGAATTGTTTTTTAAAACTTTGCTGCTGCTGTTCACTAAAGAAGATTAGAAGAAGATTAGGAAACAAGTGCGAGCTTGACATTGAATTCTACTGTGCCGCCTTTCTCCTGAGGCTGCACATGGGGATGCCAGCACTTCTTTTCTTCAACATTTACCATGCACCTCTCCAGTATGTTATGTAAAATGCTTTTGATTTCTCATTCCTTCGCCTGCCTTTGTCCTCAGTGGTGTCAGCTATTGAAATTATATTCATTTAAAAATGTCATTTGAAGGTTGAAAGGTATGACTCGATGAAACATCTTTGGTACCAAACAGCAAGTCAAACTGCAAACTGCAACTATTTTCAGAAAAACTAAATTTAAAAAAATAAATTCTATGCATTCATGACTTGAATTTATATTTTCCTATATTTTTTACTATATATCAAAATTGCATTACATGACGTTCCTGTGGTGATGTGATGCTGGACAAGGACACAAGCAGGGGAAGCTGCTGTCATCAACTTGACTAGCAGACAAACAGCATCATTCTACATCATGATTTTTTAACCTGCCCACATTCTCCTTTGAGGCCGTATGAGTTCTAACTGCAGCTTCTCATGCCTGCATACTACTGCACACTCAATTTTGTGGCAGTTGCCATTCTTTTCTAACGATAGACATGTTACTGAGACATGTATGTTACTGATTACCCGGACATTTTACAATCTCATTGTCGGCTCAGTATCTGTAGATGAAAGTGTTGCCTCCAGATGCTGCCACCTTCTTCAGACAGACTTTACAGATTGCCTCATTAATGTTTTCAGGCTCCCTTTTCGCTCTGGGTTTAAATCTGCTGCTGCACAAACAAGACTCTTTCAGTTTATAATTGTTTTTATAACATTTTTTATAGGTATTGTATTTAAGTATTGATACCTACTATTTTACAAATTAGAATTCTTTATTTGATGAGTGTGGGCACTAACGCTCATACGCAAAAATGAACCAAATGGGTTTTATAGAAAAAGACGGTGGGGCTACTGGCAACGCTAACACTTAGTCCACTGGAAGAAAAGAATGAATCTTTTTGTTTTTGTTTACATGTTCAAAAATGTCATAAACAAAGTATAAAGCATGTGAGTGCTTCCTCTTTCTTTTTCTCTCTTCCCTTGTAGTCGGCGTGTTCAGTGATAGCACACCATGATTTTTCAGAATTAAAGAGGTGTGCAATCATTCCCTGCATGTAATTGTACGCTGCAATTACGGAGGTTTGCAAATGCATCTGCAGGAAAAAACTGAACTCGTTTCACTTTGAACAATAATGCACATTTACACTCTCAGGTTATACTGATAACTGTTATACAGTTTGGAGCTACCATTTGTTTACTGCAATCGCACAACATCGCAATGCAAGGACAGTGATGCTGACAAAACTCAGTAACTCAACACACAGTGTAGGAAAGAACATGTTGTCTGCATTCTCATACAACAGAGCCTGTTGTATGACAATACAGACAACATTTTGTGTTTGTCTCAGTGTTACAAATGAACACACACACACACACACACACACACACACACACACACACACACACACACACACACACACACACACACACACACACACACACTCACTTCAGTCAATTTCACTCTTTTCTCTGCAGACAAAAATCTATTGTCTGAGGTGTCTGGTGGAGAAAAAGCCTTGTCGCTGTCACTTTTATCTTCGAATCACCTACCTCACACTATCTGCAACTCACTGTCCCTCTCACAGTATAAAATAACAATCAAGAGAGTCATTCAGAAACATTACAGACAACACTGGAGCATTCAACAGTATCTATGAAAAGAGACAGCTGGCGTTTGAAAGACACTCGAATTTAGAAAAGTCAAAATCATAACAAAAAAAGCTACGACTGTAAGTTCATGATTTTCAAGTCAACAAATGTGACGGATTCTAGTTTTCTGCCAGAATGTTTTTCAAAACCTGACACCAATCGAAGACAATCAACCCTGAGCAGAGACAGAAATCAGATCAACAGCCAGAGAAGATTAGCAGCCAGGTCACACACACACACACACACACGCACACGCACGCACGCACGCACGTGCACACACACACACACACACACACACACACAGACACACACACGCACACAAGAGTAAAGAGTGTAAAAGAAAAAATAAGATGAAAGAGAGAAAATGGTGAGCAAGAAAACAAGGAGGCAGGAAGGACATGAAATGGAAAAAGAAGAAAAAAGGGAGATAGAGACACTTGTAGTTTTAAATGAAAACACACACACACACACACACACAGGTAATGGAAAATAAGCTGGAGAAGATGGAGTGGTTTTATCAGCACCATTGATCTCCCATGATACACTGCCCCACACACACACACACACACACACACACACACACACACACACACAAATTCTTTAAAATGAATTGAAATGAAACTTAAATGTTTGTTCCCCTCATGCCTCCTTTTGTGCAGGAACAAGGTAGAAATGACCGACGTAAAAAGAACAAGATTCTTCTTTTGTGGTTGAAAAAAATAAATTACAGCTGTAATGTGAAAAGAGTTTGTTTAACGCAGCATAAACATCATCACAGCATGGATGCACTGACCGTTAAAGTAACAGGCACTAATCCAGGTTGAACATGTCTTGATGGGCACCTCTGTTAACAACTGCACATCTGACCTCAGTGGGTGTGTTTGTGTCGATCTGTGTATTTTTTACAAGTGTGAACGAGTGTGTGTGAGGCAGCAGACTCACTTGATAGAGCCTTGAGGCGCCCTAGACATACAGCAGCTAGACAGGCACTGGCCTGGTGTTGCAGAACCAGAGCAGGAGCTTGGAGGCAGAGGAGCAGCCACTGGAGAGACAGGAGGAGGAGGAGGAGGAAGAGGAGGGAGGAAAGAAACGTGGAAGAGAGGTGGCAGGTGTGGCCAGTGAAGGAGAGAAGAGGAAAGAAATGAGAGGAGGAAACAAAACGGATTAAATAAGAGTGAGGAAGGAAAGAATAAGTGAAAACAAGAAAAGATGAGAAGAGAGAAGAGTGATAAAGCGAAATAAGGCAGATAAAAATTTAGACAATAAATGGCAAATTTATTAAAAAAGAGGGAAGAAGAGTGGAAGCACAGACCAAATGAATGAGAGACAAATAACAAGGATGAGACAACGAAAGGAAAGGAAACAAAAAAGAGCAAAAAGGAAAGCAGAAAATAGAAATTAAAAAAATTGATCAAAGTGGAGAATTTAATTTAAAAAAGCAAAGAAATAAGGGAAAGATGAAAGAAGAATCAAGGAGCGATTGAAAGGAAAGAAGTAGGGAAAGGAAGGTAATAAAAAAAGGAGAGCAGGAGGGACGGAGGGAGAGAGAAAAGGGAAAAACAAGGTTAGTTTACACCCAGACGACCCATCAGACAGCAGGCAAGACAAGACTTCTGATTGTGTGTGTGTGTGTGTGTGTGTGTGTGTGTGTGTGTGTGTGTGTGTGTGTCAGCTAGCTGAAGACGTCTGCGTTATAATTATTGAGCAAACCGGGAGGATCAACATTAATCAAATCAAATTAATCATAAATCAAAATTTGATTAAACTTTTATCATCATCATGAGCTACATTATAAAACAATGTAGAGCACACACGCACACAAACAGTGCAATTATCCTGAATATTGTTTTAATGGTGACGCAGATTTAAAGTGACAGACTCTCTCTTGCCACTACACTGGTATAAGTAGATCATTTCACCATTGAATGGGTTTTCTTATTGAATAAATAACCTACACCTGTGTCAGTACATGTGAACGGGGTTAGAGCCTTACAACAGCAGTCAGGTGAAAAATATAAAGTTTGTCCAAAGGGTGGTGCAGGAAGAAAGGTCATAGGAGTCATTCAAATCATCAGGGTTTATCCTATGAGAAGCACGAGGTGAATTGTACAGATTGTACATAACTTCATGTGCAAAGTTGGTGAGAGGAAAGTTCATGGAAAAGCAACAGTGGGAGAGTTTGTTCTCTCGGGGTCATGAATGCACACAGAAAATCTCACACCGACCCGGCCACTAGTTGCTGAGATAACTTGTCGTGGATCAATATGTTGACCAAGAAAATAAAGTATAAAGGGACACCATACAGAGGGTCAAACGAGACCCTATTGGTAACCTGATTAAATATTCATTTGTAAAGTTTATCATCCATATGTATGGAATTGGTACAAATGGAAAATTGGATCAAACGTACCAGTGAAACCAGTGTCTGTATGATGTAGCAACAAAAAGTAAACGACCACTGAAAGACAGTGTTAACAAAAGATACACAAACTGAACACACTGATAATCAGTGTAAGATAAACAGGCGAAACGACTCATTAAAGAGATGTGCACTTTCACACGTATTCACTACACACACACACACACACACACACACGCACACACACACACACACACTGTCCATATAACCTCAGGCCATCAGTCTCTCTTGATCACACTTTGTTTTGGTCTTTCTTTTTCAATCTCTCACACATAGAGACACACACACACACACACACACACACACACACACACACACACACACCCGAACATCATATCTACATCGACATAGTCACTTAGTGGTTTGGTGGTAACCGTGAAATTTTGGACAAATCTGACAACTAATGAGCTCGACCCAAATCTGTCTGCTTTTGATGGGGATGTGGAGCAGCCATGCAGACATAACAAGCCCAGAGTCTCTGAAGACCCCCACCTCCCTCACACACACACACACACACACACACACACACACACACACACACACACACACACACACACACACACACACACTTCATCAGGATCTGATACACTGAAAAACCTGTTAATGGACAGAGAGAGACAAAATTACAGACTTCTGCTGTCACTTAAAAAATGTATTGCATGAATCATTTTTACCTTCTCATTTTGTGATGCGGATCCTGCCTGTGGGGAAATACAAATGCAATTTAAATAAATAAACCTCTTAATGTTGAACCAGGAACAGACATTTCTCAAGAGCACTTCCTGAAGGGGACACCAAAGGTGCTGCAAAAAGTACTGTGGAGAAAACTCTCATTATTACTACACTACCGGATAATGAAGCATTTTACCAGCATGTTCACATAAAACACCCATTAAGTGAACTAAAGCTAATCAATGTCTAATTAGGTTTAATTTTCCAGAAGAAGCAGATTTCTAAATGTTTTGTTGTCACTGTGTAAAAGTCCAGAAAGCTATAAAGGCTGCCAGAAACGTATGTCAACATATTGTTTGTTGCAATTCTGTTTTTATTTGTGAATGAATCTTCCAATACTATCAGTAAAATATGGAATACAGGGTTTCCAGCGGTGATACTACGAGCCATTCTGTGCTTACATAAAAAGAGTGAGACTGTATTCAGCCGGAGGTCAAACACGTTTTCAATGGGTGTTGTCACCTTGTCACCAATCCCGTTTGTGATCTTTATGAACAGGATTTCAAGGTGCAGCTAGGGGGAGGAGAAGGTCCGGTTCGTAGGCCTAAGAATAGCGTCTCTGCTATTTGCAGATGATGTGGTTCCATTGGCTTCATCAGACTGTGACTTTGAGCGTGCACTATGGGCGGTTTGCAGCCGAGTGTGAAGTGAGCGAGCACGAGAGTCAGAAAACGGTGGATGGCCCTCTTCGAGATAGGATAGAGTTTCTGCCCCAAGTAAAGGAGTTCAAGTATCTCGGGATCTTGTTAGTAAGCGATGGTAAAACGGAGCGAGAGCTGGACAGGAGGACTGTCAGCAGTAATGCAAGCGTTGTACCAGGCCGGTGGTTTGTCTTTTGAAATTTAGCATTTTTGATCAGCCACTAAACATGCAACGCATTTAGTCCTGAGGACGAGAATGGTTATAAAACAGCCTCAATAATAATAATAATAATCTGTTTCACACTGTTTCTGTTTCACACTGTGCTATATCAGTTTAATACTGCGCTTCACGCAGTTTGCTTGCTTTGCGCCTAATGACACCGGATATTAATATTCATCGAATCCCCACGATATCATCATGCTCTCTTCCTGGGTCACCGAGAAGTAAAACAGGGGTGAATGGAAATTTGGTAGATTTCACAGGAAACATGGAAATTTAAAAACAAATACATTAGTAAACACAAGATGGATTTTAATGTGGGATAAAAAAACTGCCGTTTGCAAAACAAGCAGATCCTTTGGGTCTGTACAGGCTCAAGTCCAGTTGCTGTTGCGTCTGATCAGATATGAATCTGAGTTCATTTCTTATAAACAGGTCTACTTCAGGTTTGGGTAAATAAAAGACATTCTTTTTTTGGTCAAGGATAATATTCTGGATTTGAGTTTGACCTTTTTTGTACTAAAATGTAGCTGTTTCCTCTCCCCTCTCAGTATTACATATATATATGTGGCTATATATATATATATGGAAGCAGAGCCAGATAGTGAGCATGTGTGGAGCTGGAGCTGCAGTTGTTTGTTGTGAGCTGGTGGCTGAAAGCAGCTGACAGCATCGTAGTGGCATTTAACCCGACAGCCTGAAAGCAACGCTTCCTGTTCTCTGTTTGATTTTGTTTATATCCTCAAGACAATGCAGTCCAGACACACACACGCACACGCCCACGCCCATGCCCACGTAGAGACATACACACTGATGCAGAAACAAATATGGACACTGGAATGAAAAGACAAATAAACACACACATTCCATCACTTCTCTTCCTCTCAGACAAACACACACCTGTTATCTCCTTCTCTTTTTATCTCTTGCACAAGTGTACATGCAGCACACACATGCACAAATACACAAGCCGACAAACAGTGTGTGTGTGGTATTGCTTCAGGTCCATTATAGAGGAACCAAACAAAGAGACACAACACACACACACACTAAACACTGGTGGAACCGTTGTGTAGAGATGAAGTCAAATACATTTATGAGAAAAGATTGTTGACGGGGAGATAAATAGGAGGGTGAGAGAGAAAGAAAATGATAAAGAGAAATAGAGAAACAAAGACTGTGAAAGGAGAGAAAAGAACAAAGGTGATAGATGGAGAAAACGGGATTGAAAAATAAAAGGATGAAAAAGATAAAAAAGTAAAACAGTAGCTGAGTCTCCTGACAATATATTAAACAAAACCAAGATGGTAATTTAGTGTGTCTTTGTTCGTGAGTGTGTGTGTGTGTGTGTGTGTGTGTGTGTGTGTGTGTGTGTGTGTGTGCGTACGTGCAGGCGTGTATGTGTGTATCTGTGTTGGCTTTAGATGGTTGTTTAGCTGGCTTCTCCTTATTAGCCTTGTAAGTGATGCATGAAGCTCCTGTTTGTCCGAGACTCTGTGTGTGTGTGTGTGTGTGTGTGTGTGTGTGTGTGTGTTACCGTGGCAGGACCCTGAATTCAGACAGAATAACACACCAGCATTTCACATTATGTTGTGTGTGTGTGTATGTCCATAGACTCCAAGTATCTTGGTATGTATATATGTCTGTGTGTGAAAGTGTCTGACCCTCCTCTCCTCCCGCCTCCTGCACGCAGAAGAAACAGAGCAGCAGGGGGGTTGAGTAGCAGCTGTATATTTTCAGCCAAAGGTGAATATTCCCAGCTGGAGAGAACTCGGTGAATAATGAAGAGACGCTGCTGTTTGTTCCGCCAGGAAAAACCCGACCCATGGAGTGTGACAACATTTTCACATCCCTAAAACACCTCAGATGTCTGACGGCTTCAAACATCCACACAGAGAGAGAGAGAGCAAGAGAGAGAAGGAGAGGGAGAGAGACAGAGAGAGAGAGGGAGAGAGAGAGGGGGGCTGATGATTAACACATTTCCAGAAGTCATCTTTTTACTTTGGACGGAGCGTATAATTTACTTTTTG